AACGTCAGTCGTAGGCTTGCGGTGGAGTATGTTTTCCTCAGAGATTTGCAGAGGCGTTTACGAAAGATTTCTGCTTCAATGTCACCTTTGAATTCTAGATTAAGCAGAAGTATCTTCTTCGGGACGGAGTGGACTTGTTCGGAAGTCTTCTTTGATTTGAGATTCTTGTCTATAAACCTAGGCGGAAAACCATTTTCCATCAAGGTACCTCGGAGATTACGCAGTTCTTCGTCAATCATTTCCTCGCTGCATATTTTCCGAATCCTCGAGGAAAGGATCAGAATATAACTGAAAAATAGTTATTATTTCAAACGAATTACAAATGTGAGCAGGTGGAGCATGGAAACAAACTTAAAATAACTGTTCTTATAACTGAAAACAAAAATGGGATGAATTGAATGAAGACAATGAGAGAAACACCATACACACACAGCGAACAGAACGAAAAGCAACCGAAGGCTAAGGGAACATACCGAACTAGGTCCATATTATTTGTAAAGGTTGAACTAGTTTCTTTTGAACACTGCGGATTTTCAATGCATTTTGCGAGGGCTATGTAGATTTAAGCATTTAAACGCTATTGTACAGATGCTTTTGAAAATATAATCACCGAACTGACAGATATCTGTGTGCTGAACTTCGTATTCACTTGTTTCTAATGTCCTAATGGGTATTTCCCATGATCTGCGAATGATGTGATGTCTGAAAAGACATCAGATGGCTTCATCTCCTCATGAATGAACATAGCGTCAAAGATGTACTTGAATTCGTAGACAAAAATCAAAGATATTAATATCAAGGATAAAACCTCTGATATCTTTGGACATAACATCTTTATTCACAAATGTACCTCTAGTAGAAACAGTTAACTACATATGTGTGAGCAAGTGTATAACCAACCAGTCGACAGAATATTGTCATCCCAATGGAAATCCTAAAAGAATTGTTATTAAGGTGTACACCATGAATGTAAATTTCAAATTTGATGGCATTGGCCTCCCGATTGGATCCCATTCTGGAGGTTTGTTTCTAATTAAACTAGAAAATGGACCTTTGAACACAACCTTATCAGAAAATTCTCATTTTGTTGTCGGTATATGGATGACACCTTCATTCTTTGTGATGATGATTCGGATAGGAAGACAATAATAACTGAATTCAATGAAGTACATTCTGCTGTGAAATTCACGTGAGAAGAGGAATCCCAAAACAGAATTGTCTTCCTACATGTCCTGCTTACAAGAAAACAAGATGGTGGTATAAAGAGAAAGTCTCATGGGAAAAGCACATGGACAGGACAATATTAACATTTTCATAGTACAAAAGAAATTTAGTAAGGACCTTCACTCAGTCACAGGGTTAGAGCTGTATGCTCAAAAGAGGTAAGTAAAGATGAACTTAGGGTTGATTGTATATGATACCTTGATTGAAAATATCTATCCCGATAAATTTATGAGGAAACATATGACTAAGAAAGTTGAAAAGGACTACTCACTATCCGTAAACAAGAAGCCTTTATACATACGACTAAAATTCAAGGGTGATATACCTAGTGAAATAATTACGAAGAAGTTAAAAAAACTTTTAATGCTGGCAAACTACAAGTCTTGTTTTCTACACGACTCATGGTGATTCCTCGATTGAAAGATGAAGTACCAATTCAACTGCGCTTGTGGTGGAGCGAGTTATATTGCCTGTTACTCCCTACAAACTTGATTTTTTGTCCTCGCTCAGGAACATCTACCAGTGTTGTGGTTAAATAAAGGTATAGTGAAAAACATCCACAGCCCCCAATATTAGACCACCTAGCCCAAACCGGCCACAAAGCCAGCCAGCTAGCATTGAAGAATCCTTCTCCATCATCATCTATCGGGTACTAAATAAATTGCCAGAAGCATCCAGGTACCGCATACTCCAAACAGCAGAGGCTATCGCTCTTCACCTGAAACAACCAGTGGTCTGTGTGTGTGTGTGCAGAAGAAGCAAATCCAACCAGCCACTACTACTGCCCTGGTCGGCCTTCAGTGAAGACTATAAATTCATCAGTTTGTATTGTTGTTATTGTCTCTACTAATTTTTCTGATATTCATTCAGTGTGTAGTGTAATGCTGACGCCGTTGAACTGTAATCCACTGGTATTATTATTTTTATTCTCATTAATTCGATGTTATTTAAAGGACGACATTAATGTTGTTGTTAATAACATTAATTCATTCATTCACTATTATGGATGGATGCATATATACCTGTTGATTGCATCAATATAAAACTGCACACTGAATGAATATCAGAAAAATTAGTAGAGACAATAACAACAATACAAACTGATGAATTTATAGTCTTCACTGGAGGCCAACCAGGGCAGTAGTAGTGGCTGGTTGGATTTGCTTCTTCTGCACACACACACACACAGACCACTCATTGTTTCAAGCGAAGAGCGACAGCCTCTGCTGTTTGGAGTATGCGGTACCTGGATGCTTTTGGCAATTTATTAGGTACCCGATAGATGATAATGGAGAAGGATTCTTCAATGCTAGCTGGCTGGCTTTGTGGCCGGTTTGGGCTAGGTGGTCTAATATTGGGGGCTGTGGATGTTTCTCACTATACCTTTATTTAACCACAACACTGGTAGGTGTTCCCGAGGGAAAGCACAAAAAATCAAGTCCCTAGAGCATCGACCAATATAACTCGCTCCAGCACAATCACAGTTGAAATGGAAGATACAATTAGAAGTGGCTAGTCGTGTCTAGGTACTTCATCTCATCAACTGAAGAATCACGCTTGTAGATGCTGTAGAATCCATTGACATTATTATTAATGATTGATTCGACGTTATTTAAACAAGAACATTAATGTTGTTCATAACCCTAATCCATTCATTCAGTATTATGAATGGATGCATATAACTGTAGAACCTGGCGATGATGAAGAGAAGGTTATCGAAAAGTGTGAATATTCTTTGTTCAGGAATCAGTCTTTCGAAAAATTTCAAAATGGGCATTTTTAATCAGTTAAAATTGAAGAGGATTTTGTTTTGCATAGGCTTAGAACAATTTGTTGTTCTGCTTAACAGATTCGTTTTATTTTATTTTTTACCTTTTTGCGTTTCATAACGAACATTGCTAAATGTTTGTTTTTTTGCTTTTGTTATTCAGATCACCATTTTTTGCACAGATCTTGCTTGCCGTTGTGCTACTTCTGACCTTTTCCTTCACATTTGTGTTTCTTTGTGAATTCCTTTCACGTTTCCCATCTGTTTCTCTGCAACGCTGAATCATTTGTCTGTTTTTCTTCTGACAGCGAATTCGGCTCCTTGTTATTTGATGTTTTTTATATATACTACTGACAAAACTTATCAGTAGCACACATGCCACAATTGTATAAACTAACTAATAGGACATGAGGTACATGAGATTCTCATCCTCTAATTGGTATAACCCTAATCATGCTAACAGTGTTTGGTGACTTCGCTTACTTACCTATATACTAACTTTTATTATCTTATCAGATTATTTTAGGATGTTTTTTCAAGTATTGGTTATATAGGGATTTTGTTTGTTTGATTGGTTGGAGGATTTCATCATGAGCACTGACATCGATTGGTTAGAGAACCATTATTGGAAAACCACCTGGAAGTACTGTCAGACAGCTGTTTCATCCGCCTAGTTTGGGACTCCGCTTCAGCAGTACGCACCCACCGGGGTTTGTGTGAGCAGCTTAAAAATTCCCATTGAGTCATAAAAAAGAAGAGGCGTTCAGAGAAGAGTTATTCGTCATTTTGGCAATATCATTTTCAAACTGTACAATCTCATATATGCATAGTAAACTGTTTTAGCAACAAAACGAATGTCTCCAAGGTTGTGTCACATTAGAATTGAAAATTATTTTACATAAAAAATTTCGTTAATCAGTTATAAACTCACTTACTTAGGAGAAGCTCTATAGGTAGGTTAAAGGAGCCAGTAGGTTGACCGAATTAAACAAAATAATATAATTTACATGGTACCTTACAATAGCTGTGAGTCAGATCAACTAACTACATAGGTGAGTCAGACCAGTAGATCAGGCAGAAGTAGTGAAACCGCCTGTCAGAACGTAAGAATTTAGCTAAAGTTAAAATGATTGATCCCACGAAGATAAGTAATTTAGAAAAAATAACTCAGCACTACATTGCACTGCATGCATTGACACACAACCAAACAATAGGGTGGGAGTGAGAGGGTCAAAATTCTAAAAGGTGATATAGGTAGGTGGAGATAGAGACAGATTGATTACTTACTGAATCCTACCTGGTTCATCGAGTCCACACACTCAACACAACACAACACATGCAACAGAAGTGACTCATCATCATTACCAGCTAATACCGCGGATAATAAATAATCTTAAATTGTATTCTATTTCAATTCAATTCACATACACATTATAACATTCTAACAACAAGTTATTTATTTATTTTACTATAAAAACACTCGTCTTATTTCCCTTCCCTTCCCATCATCCCATTGTATTTGACTGATTGATTGATTGATAACACTAATATCATTATTATTATTTTCGAATGTACTTTCTTCTCATCTTATATTACTGATTGATTTGATTCAATCAAATGTTGTCTAATCATCATCAATTTTTACTTATGCATGTATATAAACGACGAAGCAAGAAAGTTAGTAGTGTGTGTGAATACTGTGCCTTGATATGATTATGGGTAGTAGTAGCAATGATAAACATTGTGCTCGAAGCGTATGTGTGGTGGCATCATCAGTAAATATATTACTGCATAACAAACACACTGTGTGATTTTATCCATAATGGAGTTATAGTCCCCACCAACGTGCCCAACAGGTAGAAGATTCCTTCATAAGATGACGACGTTTCATAGTCCTTTAGGTGTAGACTTGTGACTTCATTATTCGTTTGCATTTGAATTAAATGAGTTTCTTAAGTTTCTTGACTAACCACATATTTGTTTTCTACGCTAAAATGTTTATTTTTAGTTTTCCTGTCAACCCAGAATTACGTAGTCTATTGGCAGCGATAACTGCTCGTCATTCACAAGTGGTAAGTTTATTCAAATATTTCAGGAGTAGCTGTTTGTTGATTTTCTAAAATGACTACAGGTTGTTTTGGAAAATACAATACAGAGTGAAAGAGTATTATTGTTTACTGGATAACAACGCCTTTCAAACACAATTTATTCATTTATTGTTCATAATCACATCAATTATAAACATGTTACTTCGTCGTAGGGGGCGGACAGTAGTAGAATTTTCCAGATTTCCCGCTGAACACGTGTTGAATCATTCCTATTACACGTATTCCCCGTCCCAGTTGATTCGATAAATAAAGCCTCAGTCAAGTATCAATCCCACCCACCCACCAACCCACCCTGTTATATGAGATTTTAAAATTGCCATCTTATCCCATCATCTTATATTTTATGGTGGTGTGTAATTGCATGTAGTCAGTGATACAGCTGAATTATTCTCCAGATTTCTTACCTTTTTTCAGGTCAACTAATCTAGATTATGCCAGGTTTTCGCGTGCCACTAGTGTGACTGACTCTGTTCTATTACTCTGACCTGACAATCATCACAGTAGGGTATTAGATAAACTAAATTGTTCTGTTTAATGGGCTCCATAGGCAGGATCCTTTAACCGACTAAGCTTGTTTATAAATAAGTTTGTGGATTTGAATGCCAGCCACTTTATATTCCTTCCTGTATTGTTAAGAATTCTCAATAGCATTCAAAACGTCAAAGAATACTCAAATCAAAAAGTTCAATGAATTATTGCAGGGGAAATCTTCATCCCAAGAACGATAAGATCAGTAATCTAAAGTCAACAGCGATCGATAAAACAAAGTGTGTTATTAGTCTCTCAACACGTGTTAAGTCGCACAGAAATAAATGTATTAGAAAAGGCATTAAATTTCAATGTATCACGGTAGACATGCTGAAACCTGAGGATATCATCCCTTAAATGGAAATAGCACTAAGTGGGATAGACAAAACAACAACTAATGAAGTACAGACACAATGTGCACTAACATTGACAAAACGAGGAAAGCGTAATCTGACAAAACCAGAGATAGAAGCCTTAAAACCAGACTTAAGAATAACAAGGACATTATTATTTTTTTATTTTGATTACAGCTTGATGCCACACCGTATTTTCAGTACAAGTATGGCATTTTCAGCATGGATATCGGTAGCCCAAATTTTGCAGGCCGACCATAGATATCGGGTGTGCGTCGGTAGGGTTCGTTTCCCGGACCATGTGCATGGTCGGTGAGAGCCCTAACCATTGTGCCACCGACGCATAGTAATCACTAAATTAGATCAAGGAAATACAACAGTAATATTAGACAAATCAAACTATTTGGACAAGGTGAATGACCACATAAAAACAGAAGTATATGAGGAAATTAAGAAATCAATAGACACCGTTATGACTTAGCTTAACAAATCCACAGCGGACTTTATATACCTAGTGACGCCGTTTCTAGGTGAGTCTAAATGGTTTAATTTAGTGCCCAAAACTAATAACCCCAGTAGGATGTAAGGTGTTGTTAAAGTTCATAAGTCAGGGTAAGCTATTAGACCTATAGTTGATTTTAGAAATTCACCTACTTATGAATTATCTAAATATTTAGCCATGGTATTAAATCCCCTTAAAAGCCACTCAAAATCTAGACTAACAAATTCTTATGAACTAAAATATAGATTGGATAGTTTAAAATTAGATAATGAAGAAAAAATGGTTAGTTTTGACATTGTCAGTTTATATACACGTATACCGATAATAAATATGGCTATAGAGGCAGTCAGAAACGACCTCATTTCTGATCAAGAACTCGAAATTAAGATGAAATTGCCACTTGAGATCATAATACTGGGAGTGCAGCTATGCCTGACTACCATAGTATTTAAATTCCAAGGGAAAATATACAAACAAACTGAGACAGTCACCATGGGGTCACCAATATCCTCAATAGTATGCAGATACATTCACATGGATAGGTCGGAAAACTTAAAGATTGAGACGTTCAGCCCCATCACAAAAGTATTGTGGAGGTATGCAGATGATCACGTTGCTTAGAACACGAGATATAAATAAATTTTTAGAACACATCAACTCAACGTACTGATAAAGAGCCAGTCCCAAACTAGGACGGAAGAAACAGCTGTCTGGCAGTACTCCCAGCGGCTGGTTTTCCAATGGTTCTCTAACTGATGTCAGCTCATGATGAGATCCTCCAACCAATCAAACACAATCCCTACAGAACCAATACTTGAAAGCACACGATTTTCTTTATGCTTAAACATAAATCTTAAGCGCTTAATACAAATCAAGGCTAAACAAATCACCTCAACTGCTTCCTATCCATCATCAATCATTTCTGTATTATCATTATTAGTGGTGCGAAAATCTTCGAATCTGTCAAACACCACGTCCTGATACTGCACCAAAATCAAACCCACTAAGGGTGTTGTCCAATAAGAACAATGAAAACTTGTCAAGTAAATTATTCAGTTCAGAGAACACAACATACTATAACTATGATGTGTTGATTTTTGGGGCGATTTGATTGGCTACAGGTTTGATCATGAGCTGATATCAGTTTTAGAGAAGGTATTAGGAACTAATTAGGAGCACTGTACAACCATTTCAATTGTCCTAGTTTTGGGACTCTTCATCAGAAGTACGCATCCACCCTACTGAGGTTCGAACCTAAGAGTATTTTTAGGTCACAAAGCGAACTTATAAACTATTCAACTACTGGAACCTGATCGAATGACTCATGAATTTCAATTTCTCTCCATCTTCCAGATTATGGAAGAGGTGAGTAACTGTTCCCCCGGTGGGTGAGTACTGATGATGAGTCACAAACTAGGAAAACAGAAACAGCTTTCCAGTACTCCCTAGTTGCCTGTCAATGGTTCTCGAACTGATATCAATTCGTGGTTATTATTATAATTGTTTCCTTTAGTTCCTAGAGGAACATAGAGCTTCAGCTGCACGTCTCCATTACTTCCAAGGTTCTCTGCCAACCTTTTCACCTGGCTCCATGTCTGACCACATGCTTTCATCTCCTCTTCATATCACCTCCTCCATATCACCCTCGCACTGAATGCCAACTTGCCGCTTCCATTTCGAGTTCCACTCGAGAACCTGGCGTGTGTTGTCACTCACTTGATGGTTTGTTTCCTCAGAGTATGGCCACAATCCAATCCACCTTCATTTCTTCCTGCATATTTGTTGCACAATCAGTTCCTGCTGGGTTGGTTCGCTCCCAGAGATCCCTCCCTGTCGCTGATCTTTTCTTGCCGGCCATCTGATCTTGAGCGAGCGAACTATTGAGCGAAGACAGCTGTTGATGAAGGTGTGTAGTTTGGCCATAGCATGGAGTTTCCTGGAGTTCCAGTGAGAAGTTATGACCGGTATGGGACTCATTCTGTCAGGAGTGAAGATAAATGTTCGCCACAGATGACACTCTGGCTGGTCCTAGTCACATTAACATCACGAATTGGTATAAGTTAAAAATTCATGGGTTGGCTACTGAGTTGAGTCTCAATGATTGAAAGATCTACAAGCTTGCCTTATAAACCGGAAGGTCATGAGTTGGAAACCACCCGATGAGTCACAAACTAGGTCGACGCAGCAGCTGGATGTCTCCTACTCCCAGATGGTTAATTTTTCGTATTTTCTTTATTTTTACTTTCCAGGGAAGTACAGAGTCATGTAATGCTAGTGAAAGTGAACTTCCGCATAGTCAGGAATCACAGGATCGTCGAATATCACACACATTCACTTCAACAACTAATGTTGTCCATGAACCTATCAAAGAAGAAGATGAAGAATGCGAAGAGGAACTGTCGAGTAAGGAAGCAAAACCAAATGATGCTGAAAATACAGATACAAATGTTGGTAAGCATGACGTTTTTATTCGTAATAAATGTGAATGCCGTCTTCATCAAATATTGATATTTAAGTATTGGTTTTGAAGCGTCCCGAACTAGGCTGACGAAGCAGCTGTCCAGTACACCCAGCTGGTTTTCCAATGGTTTTCTAACAAATATTGAGTTTCTTTTTGAAAATCTGTTCATCACATAGGCCTATGAGAGTTGTGCATGATTTTTTCTCAATGGTGAGGTGGCGGGGGATGGGGTGGGGAGAACATATTCAAATTTTCATTGACGCCATTCCTCAAAGAGGGATTATTTAACTAATTTTCATATTTGCCTGAATACCGACAAACTGGAAGATATGCGAGCGAAAAGCAACAAGTTGGCAGAAGAAGCATCAAAGATAGGAAAGGCCTCAGGTGAACATAGAGAAAACAGAGGTGATGATGAAGATTACTGGCAAACAGCAATAGCAACAACAACAGACAACATTCAGCCGGCATAAATGGGAGAAATCTGAAAGAAGCAACCTCCTTTACGTACCTGGGAAGCACCGTCTCAACTACAGGCGGGACTGAAGTGGAAATCAAAGCAAGTCAAGCTTTCATTACTCTCAAGTCTGTGTGGAGGTCGACAGCACTCAGCATGAAAAATAAGATCCGAATGTTTAACTGCAATGTGAAGTCAGTGCTGCTTACCATACGGATCAGAGACTTGGCGCCACGTCACGAAGATTACTTCGAACAAACTACACACTTTCATCAACAGCTGTCGTCGCTCAATACTCAAGGTCAGATGGTGAGAAGAGATCAGCAACAGGTAGGGATCTCTGGGAGCGAACCAACCCAGCAGGAACTGATTGTGCAACAAATAAGCAAGAAGGAATGGAGGTGGATTGGATTGTGGCCATACTCTGAGAAAACAAACCATCAAGTGACATGACACGACAGGCCCTCGAATGGAACCCAAATGCGAAGCGGCGAGTCGGTCGTCGGTGCGAGGGTGATATGGAGGAGGTGATATGAAGAGGAGATGAAAGCATGTGGTCAGACATGGAGCCATGTGGAAACGTTGGAAGAGAACCCTGAACGCAATGGAGACGTGCAGCTGAAGCTCTATGTTCCTCTAGGAACTAAAGAAAACAATAATAATAATTTACCCGAATATTTTTACAATACTGAATGAAGCCTATTCCTCAGTCGTATCCAACATATATGTGTGTGTTGACTTGTAAGATAAATGTGATATCCTTTTTTCAATAGTTGTTCCAGTGTACATCAACGTTTTGTTTTCTTAAGGTAGCTGAAACAGAAAGAGATTTGGAGACGTTTAACCTCAGAGCCCATCCCGTATATACATCCTATTTGAATTGGTGTTTTTAGAGTTGTTTTCGCATTGATAACTCACTGCCGGTTACGCATTACCGTAGGGTAAGTTGGGATATACAATTTTCGGAGTCGACCTTTTCTAGCCAGCTTCCCTTCTCCCCTAAACAAGAATGGAAAGGCAATATAGCTGGCATGCTGGTCATCTGAGTGAGGGAAACACTTTACTGCTGTTTACATTGCTGTTCGCCGGAAGTATGAGTTCTTCCAACGACTCTCAGCATGGTGTAAAAATCTTTTCCACTATGCCAGTAACTGCTTTGAGTCTTATCGCTATCCTAACAACCTTTCTAGTATTGTAGCACCTGGAGAAACCTCGACTAGTTTACTAGCTTGTTAGTTTTCTAGCTGGTCCCAAGCCCGGGTAAAGAGGGAGAGTTGGGCGTGGGGCTAGAGAGCTTACACCACAAAACCAATCAAACTGCTAGAGAAACTTCGGAGAGGAGAAATGACACAGTGGGATGGTGAAAGCCAGCCTTCGGGAAGCCAGTCAGTCAACCGACGTTTCTTCTCTCGATGAAGGCTAGAATAACAATCGGGACGTGGAATGTTCGTACAATGTAGGAGACTGGGAAGGCTGCCCAGGTAGCCGAATAAATGTAGAGATATGGTATAGAAGTGCTGGGAATCTTCGAGAGCAAATGGATGGAATGCATGTGGATTGTCAAAATTTTCAACTGGCGAGTCATTAATCTACTCCGGTCTGATCACTCACGCAGACGACAACCACGAGGACACTGAGCTAGTGAGTGCCTATCTATCATGATGTCACCAGTGGCAGCGAAAGCCCTAATGCAGTGGGAAGCAATCTCCTCATGCAGGATGATGACAGCAAGATTCAACTCAAAAGGAAGGAAGGTTACAACTATCCAATGCTACGCACAGTGCTACAAACAACGAGGAACAAGAGAAGAAGGGAGATTTTTACAGACAACTACAGGCAATAAAGCGCAACATCTCGAATAGTGACATCAAAATCCTCATGGGAGATAGGAATGCCAGCCGAAATGGGAGCAGATAATACAGGAGGAGAAGTCATCATGGGTTGAGAGGCTCTGGTGGAAAAGAATGAGAACGGAGAACTCTTCGGAGACTTATGCGCCTTCAATGCTTTGGTGGTCGGAGGCAGCATGTGCAAGCACAAGGATATACACAAGGCCAGCGACATGGATTTCGCCTGATGGACACGCCACAAACCAGACAGATTTCATCTCAGTAGTGCTCAAGGAAGTGGAGACGCACTTAACCTGCTGGACACAAAGTTGAGAAGGGGAGCATATGTGGACGGAGACCATTATCTAATCACCTTCAAGGTGAAGCTGAAATCCTTCAGAACAACTGGAGACAGACCACAATTCAAGTTCAACACTCGGAAACGGAAAGATGCAAATGCAAGGGATACCTTCACTGCTGCCATCAGAGCAAAGTCGGATACACTACGTAGCATCACTGAGGAAACCTGTGTGGAAGAAAATTGGAACTCTCTGGAGGTGGTGTTCCAGGAAACGTGTACAACCGTTCTAGGAAGAAAGAAGCGAAGAGACAGAGAATGGCTCTCAACAGATATCTGGAAGCTAATAGAAGCGAGGTCAGGAAGATGGTGAAAGAGAAGGTGACTCAATGCAAAGATGGGAAACAGAAGAAGCTCATTTCGAAAGTGTTGACCAAGAATTAATTTTCAAACTGCTTCAACACTACGGCGTACAGTTTCCAAGTCTTTATCAACTTCATTCAACAGCTAAATGGCTATATGACAATGACACGTGTCAAGTGACCCACAACGTAAAACTCAGTGAGGTCTGCCTTTGAAGTAGTGAATACAGGAGCAAGACAAGATGGCTGGCCGGCTGCCTATTATCACCAATGATGATATTCTTCATTGCGGTGAACTGGATCATGCATCATACTGTGTGCTGGGAGTGAGTGAGTGAGAGGAGATGAATACGCTGCACCGACCGATGAGAAGACTCTGGAAGATCTAGGTTTCACGTGTGGATGATTTATGTCGTTGAATGTCGAACAAACTGGAAAACTCACAGAACATAGAGAAGGTGGAGACTGAGGTGCCGAAGATAACCAACCTACCAACCACCACCACCAACAGCAACAACAACCAACACCAATTACAATCAATAGGAGAAAGAAGTTGACAGAGGTTACTTCCTGCCTTCACTTATCTAGCCTAGGCAACCATCATCGTTTCAACCACAGGCAGTTGGAACGCATGAAGATGTCAAAGGCAGCCAGCCAGCCAGTATTGGAAAGGCAAGATACGCCTTCATCAATTTGAAATCAGTTTGGAAATCTTCTGCTTCACTCCACCTCAGCATGAAGTACAAGATTCAGATTTCAAACACAAATGTGAAATAAGTCAGTCAGTCACTTCTTCTATGTGGATGAGAAACTTGCACAGAGTGTGCGTCACGAAAAGGATTTCGAACAGGCTAGACTTTTATGAACATCTGTCCCCTTCACTGGCTGTCTCCATACTGAAGATCAAATGACCAGACGGCCGACTGGCCAGAAAGAATTAGCAACAAGAAACTCTGGTAATGAACAAACCAACTAATGAACCAACCAACATACCGGCTCTACTACCAGTGTAGCGAGTGAGTCTTCCGGGGAACGATCCCTGGACCACATTAGGCGTGGTTGGCCATAATTCTACTGTTGGAATCACTGACCCAGCTAATGGATACCCAACTGTAAAAGTTTTTCGTCCATACTTTCTAAACATTTTCTAAATTACTTCACCCTCAAATTTAAACTTACTAGTCTTCGCCCCCAACTCTCCCGCATCCTTGTTACAGTGTTGCAGTTGTACAACTAAGTGATGAATGAATTCACCAGTAAAACAGACTCTTCGCGCTGAACCTTTTTTTTTGACTGAAAATAGTCTATATTTGAAGCATACTCACCACATTTAACTTCTAGTAATTCGTTGAAGGACTTCATCATGAGCTGACATCAGTTAGAGAACCATTGGCAGAAGTTAGAATTCATCAGCACTGGCCAGATGGCCATTGGATCAGGTCCCAGTGAGTGGCTGCCTAATAGTCTACGAGCTCGTTCGCCTTCTAACCAAAAGGTGGTCCTGAGTTCGAACCCCACTGTGATGGGTGCGTACCGCTGAAGAGCCAGTTCAGCCGAAGCACTAGGACAGTGGCTGGTTTTCCAATGATGCTTCTCTAACCAACCGATATCAGTGCTCATGATGAAATCCTCCAAGCAATCAATCAATTAATCAAACAATAAATCCCTACAAAACAACCAATACTTGGAAATTCTAGTAATTCGTTTGTTTGTTTTTATCTCTTTTTTGCCTAGACGAACAACATGAGAATCATTATTCCAAGCTTTAGTAGCCTATCTGTGCTTATCTCAATATACTATGTCACAATGCTTTACTCATCCTCATTTCATTGTGTACGTTTGCCTTACTTCGTGTATTGATTTATCAGGATTGAAAATCTTAATGGAATCACTTTCATGCGTGTATTCCTACAACAACAACAAAATCTTATTTCTTCTGGTAATCTGCTTATCATCAATGTCTTCGTCCACTTCCTCCCCCTTCTCCTCGTATTTAGTCTATCTCTACAGTGTAGAGTTCTATGGAAGCCTCCTTTATTTTGGTGCTTTTTCTACAACTCTTTATTGCCATGACAACTTATTTTTCATTTATTTTGTCATTTCTAAATAAAGCTATTTCAGTTTATGTAATCTTTCCTTTGATAATTTAATTATTCCCATTGTAGGATTAAGAATACAATAATCTATTCTCTGAGGAGCTGGTTGCTTGTTTATAATTGCTTTTGTCGTCATCTTCCCCTCCCATATATTCTGGAAAACATCCCCACTCAGCTCAAGATTTAGCATAAAATGAACTGATTTAAATTCTCCCTCCATGAATGATGATATAACTGTGTGTCTCGCCTGGCAGCAACCATCTTCGTGACTGACTGGTAGTCGATTTACATCTGTATCGATTGTTTTTTATTGGCTTGGATTTCGAACATTCTTGTTATTTCATGTTAGTTGGTAGATTTGGTCTATGGTAACCTGTGTGTTTGTAAATCGACAGCTGACTCACTTGAGTACCAAACAGGCTTCTAGGAATTCTCTGGCACTTTTGGTGTTTCCTCTGTTTGAAATGTTGACATTATCCCAATCACTACATTGATGTCCATAATTATCTACATGCATTGATATGAAATAGGAATATATATCATGTCATTTTACAGCTAATTTGTGGTGTTGTTGGATTCGGATTCGAAGAGGACGCCCACTTTCACTGGTGTAATGTCTGTTACAGTTCATGCAGGCAATTAATTTTGTAAATGGTATTAATTTTATTTTCTTTTTCTGTTAGATGACTCTTTCGGTTTGCACAACATCGAATGAAGTGATTGTGCTGGCTGGTTTGTGTGTTGTATCTATTTCAAACGGTATTAATATTCTAGCTGTTATTTCAGAGATATTCCTTCTAAAATATGGTAGGATGAATTTTCTTGGGGTCTTTGATGATGGTTTCTTGAGACTCTTCTCAACGAATTTATTATTAAGTTGTACAATCGTATATAGATATGGTTTTTAAGAAATTATATCCGATGAGGGAATTAGTTCAAAGGTGTGAATACATGAAATAATAATAGTAGTAGTAGTATGAAATGCAATTAAATAGTTGTCATCATAATCATGGTTAAATGTCAAGTAGCAAAACAATTAATGTCATATATAGAATAATTCATAAGATGGATGTATAGATATTGTTGGTAAGGGGTGGGCAATTATAGGATTAGTAGGCTAATATAAAATGTTACATAACATGGTGAAAAATTTGATAAGATAGAATTCAACAGTGTAAAGTCAATTTTTGAATTTAGAATGACTAGTGGAAACGATTCAAAGTGAGAATGGTAATAATAATGATAATTCTAGTAATGAGGGAAAGGTACATAGAATAACTAAATAAACATAACAAATAAATAAAATAAATGTCTATCCCTCTACAGCCGAGGCAGAAGTAAGGATCACACATACTTCTTTTGTACACAAAGGTCTGGCTGTCTTAAATTGATGAATGAATGACCAAGGCCTCCACCATCTTTAGAAGCTAATAACGAAGAAAACGCGGCTTCCAAGCTAGCATGCATTCGATAGGTGATAATTTTCAAATCATGGTCAGGGTTGGTAATGGAGTGACACAGAAGTCGATCAAGTGTTGTTCTAGAATAGAGCTCCTCACACAATTCCTTTCTCCCTCGTAAAGCCATACTGGAATAGGTTCTCGTATCCGTGTGGAAAACAGCGTCCTCTTGCTACAGCCAATGTACCTTGCTTCACAATAGCAGGTGAACTGAAAGATGCACATAGAGGCGACCAGACGGGCAGGGGCTTATCTTTTACAGAAATGGAGAACAACTTGCACCTGAAAGACTACTGCTGTTTTTGTCAGAGGGCTGGTGTCCAATGGCAGTTTTATTTCCACTAGTGGCGTTTCCAGTAGAGTTGCAAGTGATCATCTGTGGAGTTGAATTTTGAAGTGGCCAGTATGTCATAACTCTACAGCTGTTGTCTTTCCTAGTACTTTTTACCGTGTTCATCTCTTCACTGGCTTATTTTCTTGATATATATACAGACCTAATTTTCTACATATCTGTCTTACATGCCCGTCTGTACTTCTCACAGCCCACACTTACTGATTTATAACCTGATTTTCTCTCACCCTACTTATAACCTCTGGAATCCTATCGGTCGTTCACTGTCTTAGTTTACCAATGACATTAGTGCTTCTCAAGGTCAGCTCTGTCCAACTTTTTGGGGAACTGTTGTTTTGAGACAGCAAGAGCTGTCTTACCAACGTCGAGTCTTTTCTTCTGTCTTTTTGTGACCCGGCGGTGTTATTGTTTCATACATTTATTCCTCTTAATAAATTTGAACAAAGCAACAACTACAGTTATTGTTGTTATTGTTATTGTGATGGTGTTTGACGTGCGATTAGGACAGATTAGCCAGCGCCTTAAAGTTAGTAATCGTTCATAGTCTACTCTACTAGGTCGTTTAGTTCAGGTCGTAACATTTCAATTCCAACATAATTTCTTTCTTCATTGGTCTCGTTGTGTCCATAGTAAGGCATATCTTCTCCTGCCCCATTGTCCTGCCTCAGATGATTGTGAAGTTTTCCTTGCGCATCGATTTTATAGAGTATTCCAATGTCCTTCCACCTTCCTATTCGATGGTGTTTAACCTCGTGTCACGATGTTCTTTGTATTTTTCTTCCCTAATTCTAATTCGTCATCGTCATCATCATCAGCGTTGGTGAAACAGAGGTAGGATGCTTGCCGCCAACCACACCGCATGTGGTCCAGGGTTCAATCCCCGGCTACCAACGCACTTCTTTACCTCGCTAAACCAGTAATTAGAGTGGTAAGGATTCAGATTCAGATGATAAGGATAGAAGGCTCTTGTGGCCTGTGTTAATCCTTAAGGGAAGGTTGTGTATGAGGCTAGCAGCCATCCCATCCTGTAAAAATAAACACCACTGCTACCAAAACTTCAAAGACCAAGAAGCTTGAGGCCCTATGTTCCACACTGGGAACGTAAAGGAATAATAAAATGACCACCATCAGCCTGAAAGAACAGAAGCGAAACAAAAATGTTAAACGGGTACGGGTTTTGTGATGAAATGTGAAGAGTGATGGAGTTCAACACTAAAGTTTACTGTGACAATCTAATTAGTTAGACTAATTGATCTAGTGGCAGCGTGACGCAACAATAGGAAAAAGACGTAAACAGAGAAAAGAATTTTATTTTTTGGACTACTCATTTTCAATCAGAAGCTGCTGTACAGTCGTAGCTATATTTAACAAAAAACTAGTAAGATGGTAAGATTTGTTCTAAAATTGGTTACCTATGTGAGGACAGAAGACAAGGACCAGGAAACGGATTGTTTATTAAGAAAACCAGAAGGTACTTATAGATTTTTATGCACATTATTGTCAGCGGAGAAGCAACCTCTACTGATTGGTTGTTCTCTTGCTGAAGGTTATTCTGTATTGTTTGTGACCGTTGCTCAGAGAGTTAGGCCATATATCTGCGAGTCGTATTTGCACACGATAGGTCTGCTGTGATTGGTCGCTGAGTTCCTCAAGGTTAAAATTTGTTACTGTCTTTCTCATGATCCTGGTTCGGGACGTGAACAACGACGTAAACTGCTGTCTACAATTTTTGGCTTCCCAACTCTCACCACACCTACTTATGAAAAGATCTCGATCAATTCAAAGCTTCAGTTCTCGAAAGCTACTACAATTACATTTGTACACAATCGAACCATCCTTATCTGCTGACCAAGGAACACAGAAAACAAATTAAACAACTTCGAGAAAATAAAGACATAACCCTCGTCCATCCAGATGAAGGCAATTGGATTGTGGTAAGGAATAGATCCGACTATAACGAAAAATGAACAAACAACACCAAATTCTTCAAATCACCCAACCAGAGAGACACAACGGAAAGAACAAAACACCTCATTTGCGAAATTGCTGAAGAGAATGAAAGAAGATTCAGTCACAAAATCAGAGGTATATGAGCAAATGAAGGCAGAATAAAGGCTGACTAGTTTCCGCGTAGTGTGCGTCGGTGGCATAGTGGTTAGGACGATCGACGACCATGCACATGGTCTGGGGTTCGATCCTCGGGCGACGCACTCCTTTACCTCACTAAGCCACAAATAATGCTGGTGAAAAGGAAGGGTTGGGCATGAGGCTAACAACCCTATCCTGTAAAATAAACACTGCTACAGAAACTACAAGCCAATAGCTTGAAGCCCGATATTCCAACGGGAACGTGAAGTAAAAAGAAAAAGAAGAAGATTCCGCATAGCACTTTGCACAGATGTGCAGCAGTTTAAGTCACCATACTCCATGTAGCACACAGAGCAAGAAAAGAAAGTAAAAAGAAATGCAAAATAGAGACAGTAAACAGAGATATGAGGCAAAAAGAATAGTAGTATCGAAGAACAATATAGTTTTATTGGATATTATAAGTCACAAGGAGTGGATGCATCTGCATCATTGGGAACGATTTTGAGCCGCATCACCGATTGTCTTCAGCTATTCCTGGTTACCGTCCCGAAGACCCCGACCAGCCAGTCAGAAAGTCTACACCACCCTACGTGGCTGGTTGGCTTAAACTAACTGTTGTGGATTTCATTGACTGATGACGAAGCCATGTTTTGTTTTGACCACCACCATTGGCTCTTTTCCAACGTGATGCGTCCTATGCCAGCTAATATTGCCCGTCAGTCGAGGAAGGTGATGGCTATGCATGCGTTACGCATGTCCTAACCATACCAATC